CCCCCCCCCCCCCCACTCGGCGGTCCTGTAAACATGAACAAAACATTTAGCTACATTTTATTGCAAGTTGATATAGCTCAAAGCTTATAGTGGAATTCAGAAGTTTTACAAAGATACTACAACAAAAGTTTACAAGTGTCACTGGAAAAAAATTTGAAAATCCATAGAATAGAAATTGTATGGACCTTTATTGGAAATAGAATGGATTTTTGATTATCCATAATAATTGTATATTTCCATACTGTGGATATAGTATCGAAATAGTATGGATATACTATGGATTTAGTGGTGCAATTGCAAATCTCATGGTATGGATTTCACATTTTCTCTCAGTATGTCTACATAACAACAGCTAACGCAGAGATTTATACATTGGGTAGGACTCCAACTGGCCCCTGAAACTTTCGGAGCCTTTTACTATTAAATATGCCAACAATTGCAGAGATTTACTGTAGCTCTAAAGTATCAGAAATTCTGATACTTTCGGATCCTTTTATAATTTAAATATGCCAAAAATTGCGGAGGTCGATTGCATATGCAAAGTATCAGAAATTCTGATTTTTTCTAAACCTTCGATTAATGTGCAGTAAATATCGCTAGAAATGCATGGTGTAAGGTCGAAAGTATAAGAAATTCTGATACTTTCGGAGCCTTTTACTATTTAAATATGCCAAAATTTGCAGAGGTCGACTGCATTTCCAAAGTATCAGAAATCCTGATACTTCCTAAGCCTTCTACGCAGTAAATATCGCTAAAAATGCAGAGTCTAAAGCCTAATCTTACCTAGACTAAAGTGCTTGAAGCATACACTCTAAATTTTAAGTTCGATCTAAGAAAGGTCTTGTATTGCTCAAGTAACAGATAGAAGAGTCTTGCCATTGAAAATTCGACTTAACTTTCGCTTTGCTACACAACCATAAAAACCGTAAGAAAATTGTCAAGTTAACAGTTATTTTCAGTTATTTTCTCATAATTTTATGTTTTACCGGAAGGGAATTCTTAATTTAACTTTCTCATGTTAGTTGAAAGAAAATATAGGGAGAATTAAGAAATTGGATGTGGTTTCTGGAAAAAGTTGGCGTCACTCAAACTTAACTCTCCGAAATCCTCACCCTCCGATTCAACTCTCCCTGCAATAACTCTTCTTGTCATACCCAACTAACTTTACAAGCCTTACACCAGCAGATAAAGCGACAAGTAACAACAAAGACATTACGACTGTGCAAAAGTAACCTGTGTCTGTAATGTGACCATGTGAAAATTGCACTGATACTTACACAATAAAAACACACATTTAACATCGACACACAGACCCTTCAAATGCGAAATCTACTCACATTTAAGTTATCAAAACTCGATAACTACACGCCTGTTTGGGCCAGTTGATGTCATTTCTTCAGAATTTGCTCTTGTTCATCGCTTAAAACTGTGTAAACTCCTCTAACATTCGCTATTTTTTGCTCGTGACCGCAAGTTGCGCAGACCAAATGGTAATCATGACACTGCATGAGCATTCATTACATGACATTGTGGCCCAGTCAAGAATTCTCCCGCGCTTTTTTCCATTATTTTGAGTACTTATTTGTTACGGAATGAGGCTCAAATGCTAAGTTTAATTATTTCAACAGTTCGTACGCATGCTTGAGTCATTTTATAATTATTTTCTTCGGTAATCTCCAAATTTTTTATCAGTAAATCAAAAACTTTGCCGACTACCATATATATTGAATAATATTTTTCCTCATTAATATTTGGTGCACGTCACCATGTACATTATACACATTTTCCGTTTAGGTAAGCTAGCTAATTTTAGTTCTTAGTTCGTGGCCACAATTTCTGGTCGTGCGTGTTTTTACTGCACTGTCCCAAACTGCTTTGGGCGACGTTCTTAAAATTGTTTAGATTTGAATACGGCGTTCTAAAATGTATAATGTACGCTTCGGGATATTATGGACTAGGTGAAACAACTGCTTATCCGTGCCATGCCCAAGTGCTGACGTTTTCACACAGGCAATATGTTGACCAGGGATATAGGTATATACCTCTATAACGTGTGTGATACTTTTTGGACTGGAAATTATAAATGGTTGTCTTAATTAGCTATAATACAACTTTGTGAATTTTTACTATTCACTACAGAAACCCCACCAGAATCTGACACTGAAAGAACATTATTTACCACAACGACAGATCAGGCGACAATTCCAGTTGAAGAAACTGTCACATTCTTAGTTATTATAGTAATTGCTGAACCATTCGTCCCCGAGCTGCAGAACAGGCGAAGTCAGGCGTTCAGAAATTTGAGAAGTAGATTCCTGGTATTCTTGATTCCAATATACCGCAATAGACGTGGTTTTGTTGGCATAATCTTCAATTCATTTTCCCAAGGAAGTGTTGTTGCGGATATTGAAATATTATATAATTCCACCGAACCAATTCCGACTGTTGAGGAAGTTCAATCACCAATCGCCGAAGCAAGAGATAATGGATCGGCGCCATTCAATATTTCAAGTTTTCAAGTCGCGAAAAAGGGCGAGTCACAAGATGGATTCGAAACTTGGAAGATTGGTGTCGCTGTTTGTTTTGCTTTCGTACTTCTTCTTCTTATTTTTATTTCAGTTATGGTGAGTATTAGTTTTACTTTGGGAAGGTTAAATGCAGACAATGCACTTTTTGATAGTGTCGCCATCAGCCTATATGTCAACAGTAACAAGACAAAAAGGACAATACAACTATTAAAGAATACATTTTGTATGAAAGAAGGAACAAATACGGTTCCCTTTTGTTTCAGTTTGTGCACACAAAACATGATCAGTTTAGGTTAATATTTCCTTTACTTACAATTTTGGGGTATAGAAAAGTTGCAAAATTGTAATTGGTTGACACGCATTGAAATGAACACTAATCTGAATTCGAATTCCGTTCGAATGTTTAGAAGATTGTTACATACAATGTGAACCAAAAAATTTGTTCCCTGACAGCAACCCTACATGATATGAAGAGCACACTAATTTATTTATGAACGCTCCCTTTTGAATTCCATACCACACAAAACAACACCAATCGCAACAAACCTCATCATAACCCTTAGATGCAAAAATATCTTGGATAAAATCTCCTCCCATGATAAATCTATCTCCATACCATTTTGTATCCATCCACTTTTGATATTTCGAAAACGAATGCAAATTTATTATTTAGATACTCAACTTTTCCGAAAAGATTTACTTAACTTAACCGAAAACTCGTTTGCGAATGCACATTAGCCAATCACAAAAAGCAAAACAATTTTCTCACACGCCAGAAAAGTCCAATATTTAAAATGAGACAACGATGACATATGAATAAATTTACTCTCACGGCAGGAGTATTCCCGCCCTTTAGTTTGACTTTGTTTATGAACATAGACTTTATATTTTCTTGCTCTTTTATTCCTGTTTGTTTGTTTGTTTGTTTGTTTGTTTGTTTGTTTGTTTGTTTGTTTGTTTGTTTGTTTGTTTGTTTGTTTGTTTGTTTGTTTGTTTGTTTG